TATACCTAGGAATTGAATTGCTGAATTATAAGGTAACTCTATGCTTGACTTTTTAAGGAATTGCCAAACTGTTTTCCAAAAACGGTGCGTAGGTATTTATCATTATTTTATTCACACCTGGCTCCCCAATTGACCTCCAGTATACTATTCCATGGAGGCAGGTGAGGTGCATCAGCACACCTCTGCTACCCATGCACCAGCATTTACCAGACAATGAGGAAGTATCTATAGGATGAATAAAAGGGCTCAGCCAGCAGCCCTGATATCTTGCTCCTTTGGTGTCTAGGTTGGATCCAGGGACAGTAGTAGAGGGCTATCTGCCAGCAAGTATGAATCACACAGTCCTTGGCCCTCAGGAAAATATGCCTCTGGCCAGCGGAATGTCTGGTTGCCATCTACAGAGCATATTAGTCTTGGGGATCTGTTGAGTTCCACCCAATTCTGGCATGTAAGCACAGGCCTGGACATTCTGTAAGTGTTCAATACAGTCCCAGCACCTTAGCCCGACTGGACTGAAGTCTCAAGGTGGCCAGGCCAGGAAGAAACAACCAGGTCTGAGAGGACCTCACAGATCACATTCCAACTGCCATGGAGTCAACTGAGACTCCAGTGAACCGATATGTGTCAGAGTAGAAATATATTCCATAGGGCTTTCAATGGTTGATTTGGGGGAAGTATATCACCAGGCCTGTCTTCCGAGACTCCTTTGGGAGGAGGAGTTAAATCTCAATGTTTCAGTTAGCAGCCAAGCATGTGACTTTTCACCTGGCACAGGCTCAGAGACTAGCCTTCAAGGAGCTCAGTTATGGGGCAGGGCTTACAAAGGCAAGGCTCTGGAACCAGAATTTCAAAGGCCCATGCCCCTCCCCTTAAAGCCCCATACAGGGCCCAGTGGAAGGGGCTGCCCCCAGCCAGCCCCGACCTCCTGCAAAGGGGTCACCAGGAATTCTGTGTTTCATCAAATATCACTGGGCCATGGACTTTTATTTGAAAATAATTTTAATTAGCCGGAAACTGGGAGTTTAATAAATGGAAAACAGAGAACTTTCCAAGGCCACAGCTGGGAAACACTCGCTTTTTTAAAAATTCCGCCTGGCTTCCCAGGCCAGCTAAGCACCCTAACACAGGACCGACTGCCAGAGGAATCCACAAGGAAAACAAAGCTTATTTTTAGAGAAATATTTTAAACTCAAGTTTCAGCGAGCTCAGGAGTTTTCTTGTCTGCCTCAAGCCCTTAATATCTTTCCTTCTATTTCAGAGCTTCTCACCCCAGACCCAGAGGGCAAAAGAACTCCTATCTGACAGAGCTATTTCTGCCCAGATGAAAATAAAAAGCTCCCTCCCCATTTGCCCAGAGAATTATTTGTTTCTAAAAATGTCCATGCAGACATTAAGCGGTCTAGCCTGCCTTTGGCAGGTGTGACCAACCATGACAGTGGGTCTGGGGTCCCTTTTGGCCTAGGGGCCTGGTCCCTGCAGCCCCGCCCTGCTCAGAACGCTCCAGGAAACCATGACAGCCTGGCCTCCACTTCCCGGTTTTGAAAGTATTTTTTATACTTGAAAGTGATCTGCTAAAAAACAACTACAGCATGACTGCTGTTACTTGGTAGGTGTTGGTAACTACCCCACACACTACAACAGACACACCCACAGTAATAGCCACAGACCCATACACTTACACAACAGCTACACACACACACACACACACTGCAGAGCCCCTAAACAGCAACATCTACCACAGCAACAGATAGACCCCAACCCATACCAACACCCAGAGATCCATACACATACTACACAGACGCAACGCATACACCACACACATGGACCCACAGGCAGAACCCCAAAACAGCAACATCCACAGACTCTTATGCCTCCCAGATCCACATACCTACTCACACAGCAACAGCTGTACACAGCCCTACAGCAGTACACTCCCAAACCCACAACCACACCCACGCCCAGACCCTCACACCTTACACATACCCAGCTATACACACAGCAACTACCAGACTCTCACCGCCACCCCCCCACCCCGTGCCCATCCCAACATCCACACACAGATTGATACAAACATGCATCCCGATCCACATAGCCTCCAGCCACTACACACTAGTAACCCCCAAAGCAACACCACACATTGACACAGACTCTCAAACACCTGCACACAGCAGCACCCACAAACACTTTCACACCCAGAGACAAAGACAGAGGTAGCCCACCACCACCGCCCCTGACCCGTACTGATACATTCCCACATACGCAGACACACACACATTCATACTTCCTCGGTCTAGGAAGACCTGTGGGAAGAGAGGGTGGGAGAACCACCTAGTCACGGCTAGGCCCTGGAGGAGCTGTGGTTTCCTGAGGCCCAGCACCCCGCCCCCTTCCCACAGGGCCTGGGGAAGGTCTGTCCAGCCGCCAGGCCTTGGCTCCGCCCTGGCCCTCCCTTCTTCCCGCCCTCTCTCCTTGGCCTTGCCAGTAGTACAGAACTGAAACTGCCCTGGACAGCCACAGCTCTGCACATCCTCCGAGAGCATGACCAAGGAAAAATAAATACAATTAAATGAGGTTAACAATGGAGAGTGGCCACGGGCCCCTGTGTGGAAGAAGGTAAGCTCGGCCCAGCCTCAGCCCAGCTGCAGACCCTCAATAACTGACGAGGCAAGGAAGGTACAGACCCAACTTCCGGTTTCAAAAACAAAATGCGGCTCAGCTATACATCCGCTCTCACTCATACCACGGAAAGCAAAACTGAAGAGCGAGTACCTGGATAGTTCCCAAACCCAGGTTCAAAGGCTGTCTAGTTGGTGTCCTCATGCACCCGCCCACACTGGGGTTTTTCTAAGGCACTTCTACCTCCCCTGCAGTTAGATGGTACCACTGAACATCTGAGGGATGGCTCGGACCAGGCAGTCAAAAGCTAAGGGTTCTTGTCTTCTCTGCATCCGAGCCCTCCCAGGCCTGGCCACTGTAGGACTCACAATCCCCCATCTATTCCCACAGACAGGCGCAGTGCTAGGGCCTTCTCAATAGACTGTGTGTTTCTTTTCCATACCTAGGAAAGAGTGCAGAGTGAGGGGTGGAAAATATATACTTGTGTGCATCCAATCTCAATTTAGAAGGTGGCACACACTAATTGTATTGCTTGAAAACCATGCTAGTCTTCGAACAGCCACTGGAAATGACATTATGAAGACATTCTAAATACCATCACATTCTTAACACATTTTCATAATTGACAGTACTATTCAGCCTTGGAGCCAGAGTCGGCTTTAGTTCGAATCCCCAAATCTCCCCTTGCAATTTCTACTTTTATTAACCTTAATGTAAGAGAAAATTTTCCTAAGGTTAAACCAAGCAAGAGCAGAGTTTGGTGTGCTGTTAATTCCAGCCTCTGCAGAAAGACAACAACCTAGGGACCCTCCAGTGATGTGCAGCAAGAGGAAATTTCTGAATGACACCCCCCTCCCCCCAGCTTTCCACGGTCCACTGAGTCTAAAATACAAAACTTCAGATCCTAGCAGTTGGGCTTTCAAACAAACTAATTTTAAAAAATATATGTGGCTTACCCCAAAAAGAAGTCTGACATTCCAGCTGATCAAAAGTACTTGTTTAGAAAAATAAGTTTTGGAATGAAGTGGAAACAAGGCCTTTGAAATGCAGCTTGGCCTAAATAGCACCACATTGTGGACTTTTCCTCCCCATTGCACATTCTTTATGGTGAAGAGGCCAGGGAGCCTGCGGGGTCTGTGGCTGCCCCTCCCCCACTGCTGAGGTTCTCAGCCAGGGGCCCGGCATCTGGGAGAACTTTGAAACTGTTCCCCAACCCCTTTGGCAGCGTGTGCCAAGCACCAAAATGCTCCAGTTAACACCAGTGCAATCATTGCTAACATAAAACAGCTGCCCTAGGCCTGGCGGGATCCACCAGTCTGCCCCCAAGGCCTTTGGGGCTCAGCTGTGAGTCACAGGAGACCCTGGCTAATGTAGGGCCAGCAAGGGGAGGTGCGCTTGCGTTGATAGAGCCCAGCTGTTGTCGATAAAAAAACAAACTAGATATTGCTAAATCTCTTTACCTACTTTGGAAAAAGTGTCTGAACTGTGTATGGGGGAGGAGTTATAAAGTAAAACATGAATTGATTTATAAACTTGGTTTCAGTTTTTGAAGTGATTGTTTTAAAGTGAGTGTAGGAAAGGTGAAGTCTCCATGCTAGCATGGAATTTTAACTGTTAGAGAGTAAGCAAATGAAGTGATTGTTTTAAAGTGAGTGTAGGAAAGGTGAAGTCTCCATGCTAGCATGGAATTTTAACTGTTAGAGAGTAAGCAAATCCATGTTTATTATGGGAGGAATGAAGTTTTCCTTCTTAGGAACCTGGGTTGGATTTGCTTCCTGACCACTTGTAGGCTGTCTAAAGCAGATACCAATTTTTTTTTTTTCTCATAAATGTGTGTACTCACTCCCAGAGGAAGTTGTCTGCGTAAACAAACATCACCTAGATATAAGTTTAACCTGTTTAACCTTTCGTCCCTTCCCCGCCTCTCTGGACATGGAGCCAGGCTTTCCAAAGTCCAAGCTAAGCCCTGGCTCACTCCACCTCTAGTTCAGCACTGGAGCCCTGCAGGTCCCGCCTACTCCAAGCAGTTGTTCCCTGGGTGTCCCAGTAAAAGACTGCGGACCCTCAGCTGCCTCCAGTCACATGACCCACTCGGTGACTCACAGGCCTGCCACACCCCTCTCCAGGCCCTGCCACAAGCTAGCCAGCACTGGGATGCATCTTATTACCATGGGGCACAGCTAACTAATGCCCTTGACAGTTCAAATAATTACTTTCTTCCAGCTACAAGAACTTGATCGAAAATCCATATGGGTGAAAGTTGACAGAGGCTCTTCTGTCTCTGGATCTGTCAGTTCTCCAAGACCTGGGAAGTTGAGAGTGAGATTTCCTCCTTTTTTTAAAAAAAAAAACGAAACACAAAAATAAAGCTATCTTTACATTGATTTTTCCTTCCAAAAAAATTTTATTGGGGGAGAACTACAAAACATTTACAGTACAATGTTTACAGTCACAATTTGTAGTGAACTGATTCCCCAAAATATATTACAACTCAAGTTGACTTATCTTGTTACATTCAAAAACCTACTTTTGTCAAAGTAGTCCAGAGAATACATACATACATAGTGCTCCAATGGTACCTACGTACAAACTAAAGCTACTGCTCATTCATCCACTCTCCAGGAAAGCTTGGGAGGCATTCCTGCCTTTCTACAAGGGAAAAAATAGTACAAGTTTCGAAATCTTCTGTAATTAAAAACAAGGCATATTCATGTACTATATAACATGTTTTCAGCACTTTAGATAGAGGTGGCTCGCGTCACTTTATATCTATGTAAAAAAAAGTGGTAAAATTTTTTCCTTTTGTGCAGTTGAACCCATCCTACATTCAAATTCTCTCTAGCACTAGAAACAAAATACTTATTTGGTTGAGGAAGAGTTAAGGCAAGTTCGGGCCCTTCCAAAGGCACTGTGAGACTAATACCCCCTTATCCCCACCCCCAGCCCATTATTGCTACATGTCTTTATACTCAGTATGTCACAGTAGAACTGGTGGAATAAGCTAACCAAAAAAACACGTTTGCTAATTTATAAAGCTGGAATTAGAAAAGTATACCACTTTTAAGTCTGATTACAAAGTATGTGGTCATTTTTTACTTTAAAGTTGGATGGGCTACAACCATTATACATTCTAAGAAAACTCATAATAAGATATTCCTCAAAACTACTTCCACAGCATCAAGATAGATTTCTGTAAAGAAATCAGGCAATCTTTCAAAAATTTACGTAAACAAGGAAAGAAATTAATGAAATAAATATTACATACAATCTCTTAAATTAAGATTTTCTTTACTCATTTACAATAAAATAACCAAGTGAAGTTACAAAAAGCATATATTACTGTGAAAAGAACATACACTCCACATTTTGCCGATTAATAATGGCAATCATAATTTAACATAATAAAAGAATATATATCTATTGCTTTTCATCATACTTGATAAATACAGTATGAACAAATTTTCAATGTATACTTTTCACAAGATAATAAATAAGTTAAATAGTTTTTCATATTGAGTTGTGGTGCAAATCAACTCAAAACAGCTAAAAATTCAGCAGTTATTCCCCAACAATTATAAACTAAGTTCTGCCCAAGGCTTCCAGAGAGCAGACAAGATGGTTCTAAACTAAACATCCACTAAGTGGTGGCAATGAAACCAGTATGAAACTTTGGAATGCAACGTTGTTTTTTCGTTTTTTAAAGATATAAACTTTGTAAAAGAAAACAAAAAACAAAAACCCTAAGGCCGAGGGCTACTATATCAAGGCATATTCTTGGCAGAATATTGGATTCTAAAAGCTTATATAGGTTTAGTAAAGTGGTGGTTGGTTGGTTTGTTTACATTGGTCAGAGAGAGAAACGGACAATTGGGAACTTCTCTCAAGATAGTTCCCACATCTGGACTGTAGACTAATGCTTTTCAAGTTAAGAGATGGAATGGTGGTTGGTAGCTGCTGGTGCTGGGTTGATTTTCTCCTAAAGTCCCAAACATAATCGGAGACCTAAAAATGGTTAACTGTTGGTTTCTGTTGTTTTGTTCTATTCGCATCACAACTGCTCTGTTGTGAATATTTTGTTCACCAATACAAAATGTTCGTTGGCTTTTTTTGCTCAACAAGAATGAAGCTTCTGAATAATAATAATAATAAAAATAATAATAAAAAAGCAAAACGCGAGGAAACCGAAAGGGGACGGGTGGGGGCCCGCTCCCCGCAGAGCTGAGTCAAGTGCTAGGCCGGGGCTGCAGTCTGCCTGGGGCCTAGCTCCGACCCCCGGCCCCCAGCAGGGGCCAAGTGGCCAGGGGCGCCCGCCAACACCCCCTGCGAGGCCTCGCCCTCCTCCCCTCCTGCCTCCTCCTCCTCACTGGCGCCCTCTTGCCTCAGTCGTCGGAGATGGAGAGGCGGCTGAAGATGGGCAGGCGCCGGCCAGGGTCGAGACTGGGGGACTCGGAGCCACTGAGGCTGCCCGAGCTCAGGGAGCCGCTCAGGTAGCTGTCACGGTCCGACAGCGAGTCCGGGGGGCTGGGGGGCGCGTCGAACACTGGCGACTCCGACAGGCGGCGCGGCAGCTGGAAGCTGAAGGGCGGCGAGGCGGCGCCGGCAGGGAGGGGCGCGCTGGGCGGCGCCGGGGGCTGCGCGGGGGGCGCCAGGCCCTGCTGCTGCTGCTGCTGCTGCTGGCTACGATAGTAGGCGGCGGCCACGGCGGCGAAACTGTGGGTCTGGATGGCGAGGGGCGTGATGAGGCTGCTCAACTCCGGGCCGAAAGCGAAGGCGTTGTTGGCACACGAGGCCGCAGAGCAGGCGGCGCACTGGGAGCCGGGTCCCAGCAGGTCCTCGGCGCCCCCAGCACCGTAGAGTAGCGCGGCTGCAGCTGCCGCCGCCGCCGAGGCGCAGCAAGCCGGGGCGCCGGAGGGCGTGGAGGCCGCTGAGGCCGAAGAGCAAGAGGAGGCCGACGAGGAGCAGGAGGAAGCCGACGAGCAAGAGGGCGGCGGCGGCGTGCGCGACGTGGGGCTGTCGAGCAGCAGCGGTGACTCGAGGCCTGCCGGGGGCTGATGGTGGCCCGACGGGAAGCCAGAGAAGCTTAAGCTATGGTGTAGCTTGGGCCGCGGCTCCCGCGGGGGCGGCGCGAAGCCCAGGTGCAGCGCGTCGCGCGGGCTGAAGGCACGAAGGTCCCCGGAGGTGCCTCCTGACGGCGCCGGCCGCCGCTCATCCGCGTTGTGGATGAAGTGGCAGCGTGGCCCATAGGGGCAGAAGCCGATGGTGTGGAAGGTTCGGCACAGCTCCGTCTTGTATTTCGGGTGCCGGGTCAGGCTGCGCAGCTCGTGGAAGCCGTGCGCGAACTGGCACTTCTCCCCGTACTTGCACGTGCCGCTCTCCTCGAAGGGCCGGCACAGCTCGGTTTTGTAGCGCGTGGAGTTGATCTGGGAGCCGCCGCCGCCGCTCTTCTGTTGCTGTTGCTGCTGCTGTTGCAGGTGCAGGAGATGCTGGCTGCGCTCCCCGTTCTCGCTGAACGAGCGGTCCCGAAATTTGTTCTCCTTGTTGAGCAGAGTCGTGCCGCCGCTCCCCGACGGCTCCTTAAGGGGGCCGTAAGAGGTCGGGCCGCCGGCCACAGCGCCGCCGCCACAGCTGCCGCCGTTAGCGGCGCCCTGGAACTTGGGCGAGCAGCTGCTGGGACTGGGCGCGGGGTGGGCGAGCGCGTGCAGGTTACTGGGTGAGTGCCGTCGGAGGAAGCCCGGCGCGAAGCCTGAGCTGGGGGCAGCGGCCACCGGCGTCCCTACCGCTTTCTTGTCCAGCATGTTGTTCAGATTGAGGTTGGCCAGGGATTTCTCGGTCTGCCAAAGGGAGGGGGGCGGAGAAGGGGTGAAAAAAATGGAAGGGAAGGAAAGTGCTGGGGCGAGCTGCTGCCTAACTTTATGTTCTTTCTTGGTCAATTTCGACTCGGCTTTCACCCTCCACCCATACACACGCAGAGAAGCAGCAAGTTCGCGTAGGGAGGAGTCGGACAGTGAAGGACGCCCACCGCGGGCCGCGTACGGTTTCGACATGTGACCCTAGCTCGTGGGCCGCGGCACTGGGCGGCGCAAACCCGGCCCGGGAAGCCCCGGGCTGCGTGGCCGCGGTCGGCTCCCGAGAAACCTAAACAGCTACAGCGGCTAGCACACACTCCTGAAAATCCAAAACTTCTCCCGATTCGAAAAGTCAAAGTGGGGAGAGAGTCTCCAAAAGCCGAGAAAAGGAAGCAAAGTCTGAAAACAAGGACTCCTTCCTTGCCTGCTCTCCTCCTACCCTCTTCCCCCGCGTACCTTGCACAAGAAGTCGATATCGTAGAAGGCGGACAGAAGTGTGGTCGACATGTTTCTGGATCCTGTAATGCTCGGAGCTGCAGGCAGACAGGTCCGGAGAAGCCCTCGGGCGGCACAGCCGGGCTCGAGCCACGACGAATAACGGGCGAGGGGCAGAGGTGGGACTGAAAGTTTGTTTGGGGAGGGGGGCGCTAGAAATTAGGGAAAGGGAAGCAGCGTTGGACTGGTTTGAATGCCCTGGAGTGCGAAGTGGGGGGAAAGTTGAAAGAAGCTTAAAGAGCGCTCCTCCGCGCCCCCGGGGTGCCCGGCCCGCCCCCCCCCCGCGCGGAGCCGACGGCAGCTCGCGGACTGCTGGAACTCGGCAGCTAGCGAGCGCGCGCCCTATATAGAGCCTGGAGAAGCGCAGCGGGGAGGGAACATAACGCTGACCCGGCCGGGGTCTCCAGGCAACGCCGTCCGCCGGCTTGAGGACGTCAGGCGCTCGCTCGGCCTCTTATTGGCCGCCGCCAATTTTTTTCCTCTGGGGGAGGGGATGGAGAGGCCTTGGGGCGGGGCAGGCTGCTGGGGCGCGCGGAGTCCTGGGCTCTAATGGGTGCTCTTGGGTGGCGGCGGGAAGGTATGGCTCCCCGCATGTGGGGCTGCAGTGTGGAAAGCCCCAGCGCATATAACGTGACCGGGTTCCTGCAGTTCTAGACGTGTCTTTCCCCGCCCGATCCTGCTAGGCAGGCGGACTTGAAGAGCTTTTATCTTTTACTCTTGTTTTGTACAGGGCGCGGGAATTGCAAAACGCAAGAGTACTGCAAACGTCCGCGCTCCCGGTCCCGGGGATTGGGGGTTCTGAGCTTGAGCCCATGGGTGGTGGCTCGAGCCTGTGCACGTGGAGACGCAGCGGAGTGGGGGCAGGAGTGGCCACGAGGGCGACCGCTGTAGCGGTCTTACCCGGAGGAACTAGGGCCCGATTCTCCGCCCTCTCCCCGCCCAATCTGCAGTAAACACGGCTTGAGCGCCGGGGCGGCCGGGCAGGGTTGAGTGTCTGAGGACAAGGCACTGGCTTTGCTAATCACATCACAAGACCTTGAGCCAGGGCCAAAGGCGCGGAGCGTCCCGGGCGGGGGAGCCAACTCCGAGGAATGGCTGAAAGAGTCGCGCAGGAATGGAGGCCTCGTCCCGTACATCTAGGCTTAGCCTGGCCGTCCCTAACCTTCGGAGTTACGGCTTAGCTGCCCACCGAGATTCCTCGCTCCGGCACAACTTGACCCTGGGTCGCCCTCCAGCAAGCCCCTTTTCGTCTCCAGTGCCTGGGGGGCCGCACCCCACATGAATTCTCTGCGGGCCATAGGCCCAGGCTAAATTAGGCCTGAGGCCTGGGTTGGCCACTGAGGACTTGGAAGGTGGGCGCGTCTTCAGCCCCAAACCCCAGCAGCCTGCGCTGGGAAATGTGCTTTGCCAACTCGGCGCGAGAGAGCGCTCCGCCTCCGTCCGGGTACGGGGCGGACACCCCCCCCTAGCGCTCAGTAAAGCTAAAGCCGCTGACTTAGACCAGGCAGCCCCTTTCAAGCTGGAGAAGTCTGGTCCAGTACCCTGTTCACTTCGTGTCCATACAGGCTGTCAAAAAGCTGGAGCGAGGCCCAGGATCTCGCACACCTGGCATCCTAAGTCACAATTGGAACTAAGCTGAAAGGCCCAATGCCCCTTCCCAAACTTGGTTTTTCTTGCTATGTTTCTGCACTCACTTTCCTTCCAGGTTAAATAGCAAGGAATAAGCCAGGCCCTTCATTCAGGAACAGATTCCTTAAGAGTCTAAATAGGCCTGTTGCACCCCCACACACCTGCCCAGTGAGGTCTACTTATGGTCACAAGTGTAGGGCTGTGTGTCCTTATAAGCCATGTGATCTCAGGCAAATCACATACTCTGTTACTTGGGTTTTTCTTACTTGTAACTATAAGATAAATCTTGTTTTACTTATCTTTCACCTTTGTCAAGGCAAAAGTGAGATACTATCTGTGAGGGTATTTAAAAGATAAACAAGTATAAGCTATTGTATGTATTTTAAAGGAAATGAACAAAGCATGTAGAAAGCCAGGCCTCTGGGCTATGGCTAGCTAAATGGGGAGGTACAGAATCTGAAGTTCAGAATTGAGGGGATACTAACACCTCCCACCCTAGAGCTTGATGCTCAGGGTGGTGACCTGAGAACCACCAAAAAATGGCTTCACGCTTACCACTGGGCCCTAGACAGAACTGGGCAACTGTGGCTGCCATTTGGACACCAAATACCTAGGGAACCCAAGAACCCTCCTCTATTTTGTTGTTTTGTTAAAGTGATCCCTACAGCAGGGTATCCTTTGAGCCGCTTCTGGGAATGGAAAAGATGAAACAGCCATTTCCCTAAACACTACCGTTAGGTCAGTAACAAGATCTCAGATAAAAAACCAGTGGGAACATCTGTCCTTCTTGCCCCTCCCAGGGTGGCCACAGCTAAGATTAAAATCAAGGGTAATTTCCATTGAACTATGGTGTGGCGCTGTGGGTTAATGTGCTAGACTGAAAAGTCAGTTTGAACTGCAAGGTTGGCAGTTCAAGATCACCAGTCGCTCCTTGGAAGCCTTCTAAAGGGTCACTATGGGTCGGAACCTACTCGATGGCACTTAACAATAACATGATAAGAACACCCACCTGCAAGCTTGTTAGAAGGATTCTGGAGCATGTACACACGTTACGGTAGCTGCTAGTGTATTTTTATTATTGTGGAACTGCTTTTATTTCATTCTAAACAGAGAAGAAAGGAATATGGGCCTTTTAATGAGATGAGCTTTGTTGGGGCCAGTTTAATAATGACTTCCCTGGTTATCATCCCATTATACCAACAATTCACTGACTTCATCAGTTAGATCTCAGAACAAAAACAAGTGTTCGGTTGACACCTTTCCCTCAAGTTTGAGCTTGACAGATGCCTAACCAGGCAATTAATTCAGAATCACAAAAATTTTGCACATTTTGGGCCGAATGGTGCAAAATTACTAGGAAAATTTCCTGTCCTCTAAAGGACAAAACTATGGATAGTGAGTGCATTAACTTCTTGCCTTGTCTCTTCCTTCAGGGCAGTTTCCCTCTACTTCTATAATGGCTGTGTTTTTAGTGTTAGGTGGCTTTTACTGAAAGACAAATGACATTTTAAACACCAGCTTTTCACAGTAGGAAATGATCATATCGAAATCTCCTCAACACCAATTTAACATCAACAAAATAATTCTAAGTGACACCTCACCTGAAAAGTATTTAAAAATACTCCTTAGAAGTTGGAGCAATTTTTAAACTAAGGCTGAAATGGCATTTTCAAATAACTAGGATGAAAAGTAAATGTGGATGAATGTGCTAAAACCTATCCAACCTATGAATTTTAAGGTAACATCTGTGGGTAACAATTGTTCTGAAATTACCAATTAAAAATGGCAATCCCAGGGAAAACAGCGCAACAGCAAAATGTATGCAAGAGTGACACCTGCTGGCTATTTGCAAGAGAGCCTTGGAATGGGCTTTAAAAGGTACAAAAAACCCTTATGGTTTCTAGATTAAATCATGAAAATGGCTAAATGTGTTGTTTACTGGTATCTTAAGTGAGTATCTTCTGGTAATTGTCACTAAGTAATAAACAGTGTAAGCACCAAAAACATTCATACTGACCCTTCTTTCCCCAAGTTGCTTCTAACAGCCAGGACTAAATATTTCCGCTGGGTGGAAAAATCAGGTTTCCTAGCATTATCACACACACTTTTGGGCTAAGGAGCGCTCTCAGTGGTTCTTTTAATATGCTGGCATGTGTATGTCTCTGCAGGCCTTACACATGCAAACAATAAAAACACAATTACCTATATGAAGTTGATCCTTAATTCTCTCAGGATTCAACATTTGGAACATATTTTTGCCTTGCTGAAACGGAGTAAGATTTAGAAATCAGATCAAATGGGCCTTTTGCCAAAGAATCCAGAACCTACAATTCTAGGAGAAAACACCAAACAAAACAACTCCAAACCCCATTCTGTGTCAATGCAGACAGGCTATGGAGGTGTTGGGAAACAAAAGAGGCTAATTCAGGCCTGCAGGTGGCCTGCACCTGGGAACACAGTAAATATTCCACGTGGTCGCCTCACTTCCTACAGTAGCTGCAATAAACCTGGCTAACTTGAATGAGTGAACTGAAGAAAAAATCTTCTGTAGAAAGGGACATAAGTCTAGATTCACTGAAGTGGGGGTGGCATGAAGGGGGAAAGTTCTTGAATTTATGTTCACATTTCCTGCAGATTTAGTGAAGGACAAATCCACAGCCCCTACCCCTTGGAAACTTATTTTCTCAACATGCTGTTTCTGTTCTTGGCAGAGTTAACTGACTGGCTTCTGGAGGAGAATCAGAAGCACTGAGAACTAGGGTTTCTTCCCCTTCCTTTCCTTCCAGAAAGGCCAGCAGCCTCAGACAAGCCAAAGTCCTTTCTTTCTGAACGCGCAGCCTTGTGAACTCCACTGTCTTCAAAAACTGGGCAGTTGGTGGCAGCTTTTGGAAGAGCTGGGAGAGGAGGTGGGATTGCTTGGACACAGTCCTTTGAAGGTGATGGAGGCTCTCAGGGCTGGAGGGCTGCCAGCTGGATTTAGAGAGGAGCCGGAAGAGGTGTCTATAGAGACATTTCACGAAGACCAGGGTCTCAGCCCAAAAGTTGACATCTGCTTTTTCGAACAGGTAGTCATCTTCCATCTAAACCCAATGAAAAAGCCAAATGTCAGCTTAACAGGGAATGTTGACAAGTCCCAGACGAGGCCAAGGAGAGTCCTGCCAGCTGCAGAAGAGGCCTCCTGTCTCCCTCCCCACCCCCCAACAGAGGGCCCACTTCTGCCTGTCAACGCCCACGCAGACACGCCACTTGCAGCCTTGAAAGTCACTTTCTATTTTCACTCGTTGTCCATCTCCACCAAGAGGAATTTTCTTCCCCCCCAGACTTAACGTGACCTTTGATAAAGATGTGTTTGTGGTTCAAAGCTGGGATATTTTAGGTGCCTGATGTTGAAAGCTAGGTAACCAGGGAGCCTCAACATGGGAGTGGGCCCTATGACCTAAGGGCGTGTGTGGGAAATCAGGAGGGAGGAAGGGAAATCTCAGTAGCAGGACAAAGAGCAAAGATTTATCAAGCACACAGCGCTAGTCTCTAGTACGAAATCAAATTTCTATAATGCCGTGGATTTTCAAGGCCACCTTTATCACAGACACTTTATCATGTCTCCAAATTTCCCATAAACAGGCAGGGTTTTAAACTTTTGGTCTGTCAGGGATGCTAAGAAGGCCAGCTGAGTTAGTGGATTTGATTTTTAG